CCTGGCTCGGGGACAGCCCAGCCCTTTGCCAAGGTCAGAGCCAGACGAGCAGCCCCCCACTTTGCTCCCTCCTCAGCACAAGCAGTTCACTAAAAACTTGGTTCCTCAAAACGAGAGCGGCCAAAGCGGGCGATTTTTGAGAGTGAAGAGGAGAAAATTTCATTTTCATTTGAGAAAATGTAAGAAAAACCCAACTCAAAACCCAAACCCAACCAAATCGGCCAACACGGGGTGCCAAGAAAGGGGATGCGGGCGGCTGGGACATGGCAGCAGGCTCCGGGTGAAGAGCCAGAGCTTTTCCAACTCCCCACCTCAGCATTATTTAGAGCCTGTGCACAGCCCTGGCACGGCATGGGGGGCGCAACAGCAGCTTGGCACAAGTCCCCCCGGATGAGCGAGCACCCGGCAGGTTTCGGCCGACCCTGGCACAATGCCACGGGGGAGCCCCAGGCCTGGCTGTGGCCAAGGCCAGCGGAGCGGACCCAACGTCCAGGAAAAAGCTGCCCAGAGCTTTTGTGGGAGAAACTGCCCTGACAGCAGCTGGATTTAAAATCTCCTGTTGTTCCTGCTGGGGGTAACAAAAGGGAGGAGAGTGGGAGGCTGGTACAGCACAAGGATCTGCACTTCCGAAATCAGGATCTGTTCAGCAAGACAAACAGTAACCAGGAACAAATATTTAAGTTTCGGTAACCACGAGCAGAGCAGTAAGAGCAGCGCTGAGCTCTTATCACTACGTTATGCCCCGCTGATGCTCTGCCCATCACCGGTCCACGCAGCAGCACAGACCTTCCTCCCACCTGCAGCCATCCCCCAGCTTAGGGAAAAATGCATTTCAGAAGTGCATCCCCTGGAATAGAGGTGGGGGGGAATAGCCCGGTGCTGTGCTGGAGCCTGCGGAGATGGGGAGAGTGGGGCAGGGACATGGGATGGATGCAGGGCTGTGCCGTTGCGTGGCTGGCCACGGTCCCCCTCCAGCCACACTGAGTCCCGCTGGAAGATGGCCCAGGCACTGGGAAACATCTCTAATGATCCCTCTCCTCCTCATCTGGGGGTAGCTGTGCCACCGCTGGTGACAAACCTGAGCAGCCCAGGCATGCGACCCGGGGAGCCCCGGGCAGCCAGCACAGCCCACCCCGGTTCCCTCCACCTCGTCCCCTAAATCTGCTCAGGGAGAAAACCCAACCACTCACCTTCCAGGGCAGGTGACATATTTCCTCGGCAGCACTGTGCATTTGCACTCGGCAGCTAAAAATAGAAACTTCTGCCTTGGGATTGTGTTTTTTTCCCCTGAACTTGCCCACTCCTGCCTGCAGCAGGGACACTCCGAGCCCCGCTGCCAAGATCCGTTCAGGAACCGTAACGCGTCGGCACTGGCTGCTCAGTTCAACAGCAAGACCCCGCGAAAAGCAGATTAACACGGCACCTTGCAGCCCCTGATACGCTCTGCTGCCACAGCCGGCCCCCACAGCCCCTCCGAGGGGTCACCCCACCAGGTCCCGACCAGGGCACAACCTGCCCCGCAAGCTGCAGGAGAGAGGGGAGAAGCCACAAGCGCTGCCCTGTATAAATCACCCCAAAGCGTGGTCTCCAGGTACGTGGGGACCCTCTGCATGCCCCTCACCTCCACAGGCAGTGCA